AATCAATTTCTGATTGGTTCCCGTATTTTAGGCCTCCGCGGAGCCACAAGCGAGAATAAAGATTACTTTTTCACCGATTGCGAAGATTATAAACTGGAATGGACCGGGGAATTGGGGGCACGGCATGGAACAAACGGAATGAGAGAAGGAACGGAGTTAGGAATTCGGAAATGAGTTGATCAAAGATTAAGAAAAACGTTCAATTTGTGTAATCTTTATTCCCGTTTGTGCGACATCCATGAGCCGCGTTGTCTTATAAAGGGACTCTTGTTCTAGCCAACCCCTGCACCCCTGCGCACTAGTATACTACACAACAGTCAACATGGCTGACACCAATCCGCCAAAACACGTGTGCCTGGTCGAGATTCTAACCATTTGTTAACAACACAGCGTGTTTACATTCAAGATTTATTCGCGTTGATAAAAATCCACTTTGGTTGATCTTGTGTCCCTGATTGCGATTTGCGCGGGGAAAGCGTCAGCCATGTTGGGTTTCGCTTTTGCGAAAGGGTTGAATGGAACCGGTAATCCAGAATTGCGCCAAAGGTCTAAGAAAATATGTAAGGATTGTGCGAAAAAAGCACAAGGATTGCGCGAATAGAAATCTTAACATCTGCTACAGGAATGCGCGAATTTTAAGATGAAGTTAATTAAAGGTAGAAGTTTGGCAAAGCAGGAAACAATTGGAAATAAACTCATTTTCATGTTACGCTAGTTTAGGTTAATTTGTAGACAAATCATCTTGAACATGGTTGTTCTACGATTTTTTACTTATAGTTTATCTCCAGTGGTTGGTGATCAGAGGCCCCAAGTTCACTTTTAAATGTCTACGAAAGCTCTCTGGGCCATTCCTGCTACGAGGGCTATCCATCGAAGAGAGATATGTCCGTAAATGAATAGGGAATGCTACTTGGTGAAGATCCTCGTACTTTTTCAAGACCTCCTTTAATATTAATATTGTATTTATTAAGAGTGAAGTAATCATGAATATCTCTCCGTTTGTTCCAGGTAAGAAATACTGCAGTTCTAGCCGTCCATCGATTCATGCATACACGTACGTGTCGCACGTATTCATGTAAAATTGTACGTATTGTATTTCCTGCATTCTTTCCTTCAAATTTGTCTTTCATACTTTTGGTAGACTGTTGAACCTTTCATTCTCTCTCGCCTTCTATCCTGCCGTGCTAAGTAAGAACGCAGTATGAACGTTTGAGAGTTGCCAAATTTCCCTTGATAGAATATGTATTTTCATGCATGACAACATTCTTGCATGCTTTTCCTTGAAAGTTCCAGATATTTTAGATTAAATGGACCGCGTTTAACAGAAAGGTACCAAGCCACATCGGCTATTGCCAAAGTTATATAGTGAGGATGTTCTTGTGTGAGAGCATAGAATAGACAGGCGTGAAACTCCGAAAATCCGTCAGGCCTTCACCGATGCCTCCGCGAATAAAGTTAGGGCCCAAAAGAGCACTGTCGTGATAGCGAAGAGAGCAGTAAGTGCAAAAATGAAGTTTTAAGAAAACGGGTTCAGTCTTCTGACCGGAAAATTATGTTGATAGAAGCCCCCGTTCTTTGTCAAATTGCCACTTGTCATCCGTAAGACTGTTAGAAAGTGTTTGGATGATTTTAAGTCGACTGATTTTATTTCAATTATATAGAAAGGGTATTTTTCATTTTCATGTTTGGTTAGTGTTTGCAAGACAGCCGTAAGTGCTATTTTCTGCATGCTTTCGTGGTTGTGTTTTGGACACGCAAAAATACATTTTCAGGATAAAAATTGGCAGAAGAGGGCGGTACTTTTTTTAAAGCACCGTTTCCATTGGCTCTCTGGAGAAATAATGTCATTTACGGCTGTCTTGCCAGAAAATACGTCATTTTTTGCGCACTTACGGCTTTCTCATATGGCTCGTTTTGATACAATTAAGATGAATTTTGCTATTTTAGCTAGACGAATTTTGAAGGGTACTTGATTGCGAAAATTTGACACTTACTGCTCTCTTCGCTATTATGGCAGTACGGAGAAACCCTTTAGACATTCGCCATCGATATTTCGTTTAGAAGTGAATTTCTAGACTTCCTGTCCTGCGATTTGATCCCTACGTGGAATTTCGAAGACAAAACATGGTGTATAACAAAACTCGCCTAAAGACACCAAATCACCACAAAGGCTTTAAACTGTTCCTAATGTTTCTTCCCCTACCTTTACACCTCCCCTTTGCTCTTGGCAAAAGAAAATAATGGAGATGTTGCATGTGTGAGGAATTTGCGATTTGACTATTGACTCTTTTGTAAAAGTTCGCGAGAGACACGATGGTGCCACTGGCTCTCTCTGAAATTAACTCCCAAGCTTAAAAAAAACTCAAGTTGAGGCCAAAATGGAGGAGATATCCCACGTTATCCGGAGAGTCCACCTCTACATCAGGACGAACTCTTCATGCAAAGATAGGGAGCAAATACATTAGCAGTGATGCCGTGTTTTCAGTTTTGGAGTCCCCAGATAAAGTGGCAGCCCTGTCAATGTATTTGCTCCCTATCTTTGCATGGAGAGTTTGTCTTGGTGTAGAGGTGAACTCTCAGGGTAGCGTGGGATATCCCCTCCATTTTGGCCTCAACTTGAGAGTTTTTTTTAAGCTTGGGAGTTAATTTCAGAGAGAGCCAGTGGCACCATCGTGTTTCTCGCAAACTTTTACATAAGAAACAATAGTCAAATCGCAAATTCCTCACACATGCAATATCTCCATTTCGAAGAGAAAACATGGTGTGTAACAAAACTCGCCTAAAGACGCCGTATCACCATAAAGGCTTAAACTGTTCCTAATGTTTCCTCCCCTTTACACCTCCCCTTTGCTCTTGGCAAAAGAAAATAATTACTCCGGTCCGCGATGGAACGCGCGGGGAACGAGTCTGCCTTGCCAAATTACCGAATGACTGATAGCGTCACCTTTTGAGATGCTCCCCGCTGATGGGCCCGTAATGCCAACGTTGACGACTCTGATGATATCATTACAATGTAAATTATTTTCAACTCTCTTTCATCCCGCCCCAAGTTCATCGGGAAGTATAAACAGAGGTATCGTCAGAAAGTTGCCCGACTATTCTGTACTTCGTCAGGGTGTCTAGCATCAGAAAAAACCGGAAAATATCAGGAATTTTGACCGATCAGGAAAAAATCAGGAAAATCGGAAAAATCAGACGTTTTATCAGGAGTTTATCTTACGCAAATTTCCTCAGCGGAGATGTCTAACTGCTTTTTGCCTACCGTGCCAGGAGTCGTCGAAAAATCAGGATAATATCAGGAATTTCCAAATGAAAAAATTAGGAATTGTTAATAAAATTTCAGGAAAATATCAGGATTTTTCAAAATTAAAAAATACTAGACACCCTGTTCGGCTGTCTCTTAGAAATGGAATCCTTGCGTGCGTTGATGGTACTGGCGCGGCTTTGAAAGCTTGATTCTCGGTTTTGTTGCTCCATTTGGCGTCAGCCTCAAGCCCAATAGATATCTTGCATGCGTGAGGGATTTGGGATTTAAGGCTTTTTTCTCACGGTAAATTTTCTCGAGAAAAACGATGGTTCAGGGCCGCCTTCAAGTATTGTTTATGCAACACGCATATCCATTGAGCACGAATAGTTGCATCCTTACAGCGCTAAACCTTGCTACAACCGAGGCTACTGTGCACATTTGCTCGTTCAATTAGTAGTTATGGGTGACTGTGAAAACAGTTCGAAAGGGTCTTTTTTTGAAACAGAGAATACTACACGGAGAAAAAATCTTCGTGCGTGGGACCCAAAGTTTAGGTCATAAGGATCTCTGAAGTTTCCGGATTGAGCATCTAAACACTGAAGGTCTAGCTGCCGAAGTTCAGGTCAGACATCTGAAACTTCAGTTCTTACATCTGAAGTACTTCAGTTCTTACATCTGAAGTACTTCAACTCTTACATCTGAAGTACTTCAGATGTGAGAATCGAAGTTTTTCGGATGCGAAAACCGGAGTACTTCAAATGTAAGAACTGAAGTTTCAGACGTGTGATCCGAACCTCGACAGCTAGACCTTAAGTGTTCAGATGCTCAATCTGAAATCTTCAGAGATCCATATGACCTAAACTTCGGGTCCCACGCACGAGGTTTTTTTCTCCGTGTAAATGTTTCGCTTTCTTGCAGCTTGCACAAAGTTCCACTCTCCAACTATCATAATGAAGCTTGAAGAACTACCCATTTCAACCAACAGGATCTTTCCATACTGCCTATGTCTTCTTTGTCTCTAGCTTTGTCTATCAACTTCAAGAATCAGCCCGCCGCTCCTTCTTTCGTCGATCCCCTCTTGTCTTTCGTGTTCCCTGACCGCGCTTTTCAATGAAACCTAGCGTACTCAAAGGTGCAGCACCCCATCCAACCCTCCCCAGAATTTCAACCAATAGGATCTCTCTAAACTGCCTATGTGTTCCTTGTCTATCGCTTTATCTATAAATTTCAAGAATCAACCTTCTGCTCCATCTTTCTTCGATCCCCTCTCGTCTTTCGCGTTCCCTGACCGCGCTTTTCAATAAAACTGAGCCAGCTCGAAGGTCCAGCACCCCATCCATCCCTCCCCAGAATTTCAACCAATAGGATCTCTCCAAACTGCCTATGTCTTTTTTTGTCTATCGCTTTGTCTATCAATTTCAAGAAACAGCCCGCTGCTCCTTCTTTCTTCGACCCCCGCTCGTCTTTCGCGTTCTCTGGCCGCGCTTTTCAATGAAACCGAGCGTACTCAAAGGTCCAGCACCCTCTCCCCACCCCCCTCCCCAGAATCCGGGGAGGGGGGATGGGGGGTTGTCTCGTAGCAATCGTGACGCGGTGTTTGTTGATTCACCGTTGCTCACCGATGGCGTCGCCGGTGAGGGGAGGGGGAGCAGAGGGGGGTGACCGGTGGATTCGCCGCTAAAATTAGATCATCATAATTAGAATAGATAAGCCGTTCGGTTGGAGCGGGTTAAATTTAGCCGAAGCAGCGCCCGTCGCATCAGCGCGGCACCGGTCACACTGTCAGTCCGACTACACTGAGCGACCAGGTGTATTAACCGTGCATTGGAAAACAGAAGATGGATTATATCTGTGGTGCTTTCTCAGTGTCGTAAAAAACCCCTTTCCGTTCCGTTTATGAAGGTGCGTCGCTATGTCTTTTTAGCGTTTTCTAATTCTTATCATTTGACCCGGAGCGTTTTGGTTTAGTATTTCCGATTGTTTTAATTTTTGTCCGACGATTTTTCGGGTTGTGAGTGTGCGAACGGCCCAGGCCGTTCGGCTGTTGTAAGTTCGAAAGTTGGGAACGTAGAACCGTAAGTAGAAAGCATTTCATTATTCTCCGGTCCGATCTGATGCTGGAACACTGGAAGAAAAAACCACATTGGATCTAGAGTCCAGACTCTTGAAAACATTGACAAGAAAAAGGACTCGTGATTCAATCAGATTTTAGCGTAAATCAAAAGGAAATCCGCTCAAATTAAGAGGCTTGGTTCTTGATTTAAGCTTAAATCTGATTGAATCAAGAGTATTTTTTCTTGTCGATGTTTTTAAGAGTTTGGACTCTAGATCCAATGTGTTTTTTCCCCAGTGAATCAACAAACCATTTAAAGATCACGAAGTTTGACCGCTGGACAGGACAAGATTTGAACCTTCACAAGTTTTGCCTCGTCAAAATTTCAAGTAGAACAAGTCAAACATGTCAAAAATTTCCGAAATTTACTCATCAAGGAGGAATCAGTATTTTTTACACTGAAAAAAAACATGGTAGATTCTACGATACTATGACACAGCGATCCGAGTGTGGTAATGAACACCAGACTCTATCGTTGCATTTACCATACTATGGTAAATATCACTAGAGGACTGGTGGATACTACTATAATTGTGTTTATTTCACCAAATAGTATCCCCGTAAAAAATCAAGTAGACTTATAGTAGCTGTTACCATACTTTTTTTCAGTGTAGATTACATTAAAATCAACCAATTCAAACGTCCCGCTCGTCCAAAATCAACGTGGTTCATTTAGGGCATTGGAAACAATGTAATCTGATCGGCAAATTTTTAACGTTTCGTTCAAGAAAATTCCTATCGTTTTCTAATTCATGGAGCTCTATAGATGTATTTAAAAAAAAAACAAGTTCAGCACACGAAAACATTCTTTAATCGTAAAACATATTTAAATTAGGTTTGTGATCGCTTATTCTAGTAAATTCTAGTTTTTTGTGAGCAAGAAAATACGAATTAACGTTCAAGGAAAACTGTTCTCTTTCACTTAAGAGAAGAACTTGGAAATTTTTTTTGTGCTCATAGAATTCCTCTTGAAATTTTGATGAACTACATGTTTTGTGGTGGTTAATTTCGTAATCTATCTATTGGTTCGTTCGGGTGACCCTTTGCGAATAGATATGTCTATTACCTTTGCCCCATTGATGGAACGCGTCACACAGCTAAATCTGGCGGGTGCTTCAACCGAAATACTTTTTATCGGACCTTTTGTTACTGTGTCTGATCAACGGTAATACCTATAGAAAAATAAACAAACTCATTGTTTTGTTTACGTGTCGGAATTTGATAAGTTTTCCAATAATAGAAAATGCGCTTAATGTAGAGATGAAGGCCACTTCGAACTCAATTTAATCTCAATGAATGGGTCAGTTGCGCTGGTCACAGAATCGTGTTTCAATGCTTGATTCTTGTGAATTAGCTAAGAAGAATAAGATCCGTCCAAACAGTAACTTTCTACGCTCAATATTAATCGAGATATCGCCCTTTTAAAAGTCGGGTTTTTGACGTCATCCACCGCGGTAGTAACACCCTCGGCTTCTTCCACTTTGCTTTCATCCGAGTTCCATGGTTAAGTAGCCAGTGCAAATTATTAATGTCTGTCTCACTGATCAAAATCCACTGATTTCGTTTTCACTGAAAGCTAGGTCCAAGAAACCAAGGGTGTCAGTGTCGCGTTGGATGACGTCATAAATCAAATTTTTCAAAGCGCAATATCTCCGTAAATATTGATTGTAGAAATTTGTTATCTGGACAGATCTTATTATTTATTGAGCAGATTTACAAAAATCAAGCATTATAGCACGATTCTGTGACCAGCGCAACTGACCCATTGAGCTGTTCGGCGCAACACGACCAGTTGGATGCATCCGACTGAATGGTTTCCGCTGGAAATGAGACTTTCTTGAAACGAAACTATAGGTATAGTGCTCAGCGGCAAAGGAAGTTTTGGGAGAACATTATTTTGAAAAAGTCTGGTTGACATCATAAATTATCCGGTTCAAACTTTCAGATTTCTATCGGCACAACAAATCCACAATTTTAAATCGCCGCGATGAAAATTTCCCTCATTCGCAGTCGTATTTCAGCCAAATTTCCTCTCAAAAATATTCGTTTTTGGAGAAAGTAATGAATATTTGCTCAGCGCCAAGCAGAAAAGAACCAAGCCACATCAGTTATTGCCAAATTTAGTTTGGCAACTTAATTTTTTACATGAAAACAGTTGTGCGGATTTTTGTGCAAATTTCAGTGAATTTCCTGCACGGTACGATGCAAATTTTTTAAAATGTTAAAAGGGATCCGCACAAACGTTCTCTTGTAAAAAATGTAGCAATATTTGATGAGGCTTGGTTCCTTTTTGCTTAAAGCAGTCCAAATCGTCCATACAGAGTGCGCGGGGAATGTTCATGATAGCCTCTCTTCAATTCGCTTTTTGACATGACTTTTCTTCAATAATACTCGAAATGAATCTTTTCCCGGCCTTTTAATGTGTTATTTACGAAATCGTTCATTAGTAACACCATTTTAAAATATGATTGTAGAGAAAAGAGTAGCCAAGGTGTTATATTATAAATTAGGTATTAATACTTTTACCATCGATATCATACCAATAATTTTTTGACTTGCGTGTTAATATTGACCAAGATGTAAACTTGATAATTCAAGGTATAAACCGAGGCACACGTCAAAAACTCTATCGATTGACTTGAATTAGAGAATTGAAAAGGTTTCGATCGTTAACTAAAATTAAGTTATCCCAGACTACCCATTTTCATTTTGATTCACGTTCGCGTTGTTGACGGCGCAGAGGTACAACTATTCGTGCTTGATGGATGTCCGTGTTGTATCTGCAAAATTGAAGGCGCGATGCACGCATCACACTAGTTCAAAATACAACGTTTCTTTCTCCGACAAAAGTATCCATCAACTAATCCTCCTATCCATCCTGCAATATCTATACATATATTCGATGTACAGATCCACCCGGCCGATTTTCATGAGTTTTGCGGTTACAAATTAAGGTGCGGTTAATGATATCTAGATGAGCCTGCGCTCTTTAAATATTTGAAATATGACTCGAAAAATGACTCTTTAGGGATGCTTTAGAGTCACGCCACTTTAAGGCCAGGGGTTTCACCTCCTACCACACGTGGATTACATTTTACAAAAAGGAACCAAGAGTATTGCAATGTTGCTAGGATTGTGCAACTTATATTTCTGCAATGAAATCACTGTAACCTTGCAAAAAATTAAATTTACAAAGATAATTTTCGTATCAAATTTATGGTTTATCGAGAGAAAAGATATAGAATTTGTTTAGATTATCAGTTGGATTGCATTATGCAAGAGGGAACCAAAAGCATTCCACTGTTGCTAGGATTCTCCAACTTACATTATTTGCCAAATATTACTGAAATCATGCAAAAAATTACGCCTATAAAGGTAATTTTTGTCTTGAATTCATAGCTTATTGGGAGTGAAGACAAACTTTGTTTGCATGATCAGTTTACATTTGCAAGGTAAAATAAGTTGCACAATCTTAGTGACATCGGAATGCTCATAGTTTCTTCTTGCAAAATGCAGTCCAGTTTATATTTACAAGGTAAAATAAGTTGCACAATCATAGCGAAATTGGAATGCTCGTGGTGCCATTTTGCAAAATGCAATCCTTTCGTAAATACTCCCTTCCTTTTTCTGAATCTGTCTTCAGAAAAATCCGGCCGTGAGATAGGCGTATTTAAGTATAAAGGGATTATTGAACAGCGGGCCGATTATTGAAACTGATAGACAAAGCGATAGACAAGGAAGGGAGTATAGAGCGATCCTATTGGTTGACATGGTTGGTTCTTATAGACTAAGGAAGAAAATGATGGACTAACTGTCAGGTCTTTGGTGGGATGCCGTTAGTTAGTCCATTACCTACCTCCTATGTCCATTACTCCATTGCCACCACCCGCTTCCACCAATAAGATATTTCCATAACCTTTTTGTCCTCTTTTTCTATTGCTTTGTCTATCAATTTCAATAATCAGCCCGCAAAACTTCACGTTGGGGCGACTGCATTTCTTTCCAAGTCACAAAGTCACCTCAGAGTACCCTTAGAGTATCGAGAGGTGCAGCGCTCAAGAAACGAACCCCTAGTTTCACTATTTTTATTCCGCAAACCTAGAAATATTTGTCCCTGAAACCCAACTGCGAGCGAAATTCATCAGTCCCGTTTTTATCGGTCTGTTTAAAGCTAAAGATTGGTCTCGGTGCCCGGGAGCGTTGACAGATCGCGCTGAAACTCCCCGATTCCGCGTTTCTCGGGCGAGGAGAGCGGGGCTTTTCTCCGCCACCCTGGCAACTAGGATGACCGGGCAGGCGGCAGCGCGGCACAATGTAAGCGCTTCGTTCCGTCCCGAGTGCAAAGTGTTTCTTATTAGAGGGTATTTTTAACTTTGGCATGCGGTGAAATATCACGGCGCCCATAGTGAGCACGCGTTTAATACAACCCGAGTTGCCAAATCCGTCGATCACGCTGTTCGCGAAGAATCGTCTTCCAATGGTTGAATCTCGTCTGTAGCCGGCGATTTTACCTAAAATTTGCGNGGGGGGGGGTACTTGGCTCTAGGTGGGGCCAATGGACCACTAGACAAGGTACGAGTTAAAGGATTCTGATACATTTTTCTTGACCAGAATTTCACATAGAACACGACTCGCGCAACGAAAATTGCTGAGACCAACTCCTAACGAAGATATTAACGTTTTTTATTTCACATTGGTTACGAGGAATTTAAACTGCCCGCTGACAAGAAACTCAAAGCTCTACGTGAGTCAAATCGCGCACTTCAACGGTTTCGGCGATCTTCTCTAT